AATCTTTGTGGGGATCATAACAGGTCACTGCAAGATTAGATCTCTCACTTCGAAGTGGGACTCCAGTGGTCGTCTATGTGAGGACGAAGAATAACTAGAAACAATTGAACACATCCTCTGTAAATGTCCATCGCTGATTAGCAGAAGACATAAACATGTTTGGAAGATATGAAATTGATAATCTAGCCTTCTTCTCCAAAATAGACCCAAACCAGATCATAGGCTTTGTCAAAAATTAGACATGGCTAAAATGACATTTCTTCCGTTCTTCTTCTCTCGCTATCTTTTCTCCTTGCTCCTCCACTCTCTCTTTTTCTTTGCAGGTAATATAAAAGGATGATCACAATGGACAAAGCCTCCGAGTGGACTGTTGTTATTAACAACCGTACCTCCCTAACCTAACCCATCGGCACCTGCTGCTTTATTATTCTTCAGTCGATTGATTGCTATTCTGACCTCATCTTGGCTAGGTTGTATACACTCTATACCGTCATCTATTATTGGTTCTGGGGTATCCTCTTCACCGCTACTTCCTTCCTTCCCTCCTGATCTTCAGCACGCTGACTGCATCTGTCACAAGGTTTCCTTCTTCATCTTTACAGGAGGACTTCATTCTGACTCCTGTACATCTCGATTTGCTCACGCTCACGTTTTTCTTGTTCTTTCTTCCTTTTTCTGAAAATACGTTTCTCCTCTCTCCTTTTCTTCCGATAATTCTCCATCGCATTATGTATTGCTACTGTCTGCAGGGTTGTCCTATATGCTGCGTTTTTCACATCAGTAGCATTACGACACTCCTGATCGTACCATGGGTTTCTTGATGGTGGTCTTTGGTATCCAAGTGTGTGGGAGAATGGGCAATTCTCTGCCATTGTGCTTCTATATTATTATCGGGACAAGGAGTGCTTTCGTCAAGCAGCTGGGTAAGTTGAGCGAAGTAGGCTTCTGCTATCTGTTGTGTTGGCAGCTTTTCGACGTCGAGTTTCCGTGTTACATTAGATCGCACCTTTGCTGTTACATTAAGACGAGTGCGAACCTTGGCTGCCACAAGGTAATGGTCCGAAAACGATATTCGCTCCTCGAATCGATCGAACGAAACACTGGATGAATGCCTATCACAACATTATCGATTTTATTTCTCGTTGTTCGATCGGTTGTTCCTGAAATATTAATCTTAAAAAAAAATCCACACCCTATTAAAGCCATGAAAAAATATTTTCATTACTAGTACCCCAGTTAGTATCATGTTGCTATTAGCCACTCCGTTTTCTCGCCAAAATGAAATAGACTAGAAAATATGTTTTACAGTAAATGCAATGCTTGTAAGAGCATTGAGTTTCAAACTATTTACAAAGAAAACAATTTTGAAAAAAAAAAATACAAAAAAAAAAACTTAATGACTGACTGCAATTGTTTGTTGTTTCTTCTTCTGCTTCGTCTTGGCTGCATTGTTCCAGCCATGGCTGCATTGATTCGTTGGTATTATTTTTTTTCGGCGTCGAATTCAAATGTTTCCTAACTTTAAGCAATTTTTCATTTTTATGTGTTTTCTTTGTGTCCATTATGTTCAGTTGCGTTTGCTTCTTCTTCTTCTACATGGTATATATGTGTTGGCAGCATTTTAAAAGCTTTTCCTTGTTTCTTTCTTAACGGAGGTTCGCGTTGCAGCTTCTCCTACTCTCCTCCATTGAGATGCAATGCAAAAGTTTTTGACAATGCATTACAATTGTAGAATACGACTTTAGTTTTTCCCATATGTGTGTGTGGTTAACACACACATACACATCCACCAATACCACCGTCCTCCCTCAAAACATAGTTTTCTTTGCGGATCATTTAGTCCTTCTTTCCCAATCCGCAGGCTGAATGCATTTGTCTGCCACGATGCCAGTTTGCCTCCCAGCCATTGTCTGTGTGTCTCTGCCCGGCAGATTTTTCTTCGTTTCGTGTTTTGTAGTTCGCCTCTTTTTTGGCTTTAGGAGCAATGAAATGAGCTTTATATTACGGCTAATTTGGCAGCCAATGTTCTTTTCCGCCGCCTGATGCCGGAAGTTAAATCAGTTTAGAATTATTTTTCATTAATTTCTCTTCTTCTTCTTCATCTAGTTGTTCATTTGTGGCGGATGGTATTCTAGTCTATTTTTATTATCAACATTAACTTTGATGGGAAGTTTTTCGATTTGAGAGAAAAGCATCGCATGTGTGTCAGTGTGGAAAAGTTTAAATTGCTTCGATGTATACGTGGGGAAAATAAAAACTTCGAAAAAACTCGATAATTTTTTAGGCTATAGCAAGACGTGGATTTTTTAAACATTATTTTTCAATGGCGCGGATTAAAAAAAAACCCAACAAAGCGTGGATTTTTAAAAAAATATTGTTTCAAATAGCCAACAAGACGTGGATTTGGTCCCGATGGTATAATACCGGCCATGCTGCAACACGCAGATGAACGTATAATATCATTTCTGCAGGACATTTTTAGAGCTTGTTTACTTCTGTCGTACATACCAAGTCTATGGAAAGAGGTTACCGTGACCTTCTTCCCGAAAGCCGGGAAGCCGATTCATACGTTACCTAAAGACTATAGACCGATTAGCCTTTCTTCCTTTCTACTAAAAACTTGAGAAAGGTTACTACACTCAGAAATTAGAAATACCATTGACCGTAGTAAACTTAGTAAATCCCAGCATGCCTACATCAAAGGCAGATCAGTGGATACAGCTCTGCATGAGGTGGTTGGATACATCGATAAGAATATGGAGTCCTCTGGCTACACGTTGGCAGCATTCCTCGATATCGAAGGAGCTTTCAATAATGTGAAGCTAGAGGCCATCCATTCTACTCTCGTAGGCATAGGTATTCCCTCACTCCTTACGGAATGGATTGATAGAATGCTGGAAAGCAGAATTATCAACTCATCCTTAGGAGAGAGTTCCGTGAGGAAATCTGTCAACAGAGGCACACCTCAGGGAGGAGTACTTTCCCCCCTTTTGTGGCTTCTGGTGATAAATGAGATACTTATGAAATTCAATCACCTTAGGATAAAGGCGGTAGCCTATTCCGATGATGTAGTCTTGCTGGTTGGGGGTAAGTTTATAACGACAATATTAGACATCCTGGAGGGTGCCCTTTCAACCCTGTCTAATTGGACTTACACTAAAGGTCTTGGTGTAAACCCCACTAAAACCGAACTGATGCTCTTCAGTAGGAAGCACAAAATTCCTAGATAGCAAGTTACTGTGGAATAGGAATGTTGAGGGACTCTCCAAGAAGGGATTGCTGGCACTCTATTCATGCAAGAATTCCATAGGCAAGAGTTGGGGATTGAGACCCGGAATTATACACTGGCTGTATACGACAATCGTCTTACCCATACTTACTTATGGTTGTCTTGCCTTGAAATCGCTGAACTATGGTCATGCCAGCATACTAAACATAACGCCAGGTTATGACCTCTTTAGGGGGGATAGTCATATCAGTGATTACATTCGCCCCCACCCCCCCCCCCCCACAGGGACTTTAATGACAACAAAGTTGAATTTCCTAGTAGGAAATCCTGGACTAGTGGCTCCCTACCTCTGCCAGATCTGTCAATCTTCACAGACGGGTCCAAGATGGAGGAAGGCACAGAACTCATATAAACTCAACAATGACTGTAGCGTTTTTCAAGCAGAGATTCTCGCAATCACGAAAGCGGCCGAGATAGTAAAAGCACTTAATGCCGACATTACGGGACCGGTGACTATTTATGTAGTCAGGCGGCCCTGAAGGCGGTGAAGTCGCATACTATAAACTCGAAAGCAGTTCATGATTGTAAGACCGCTCTGAATGATATACGACAGATAGTTGGGCTATGCTGGGTTCCAGGACATAACGACATTGAAGGGAATGAGATAGCCGACGAGCTTGCTCGATGGGGGTCACAGTCGTACAGTCTTCTGATTGAGAGATCTGTGAAACCCCCCATTAGCTATTTCATTGGCAGAATCCGTGCGTTTCATTGCGAGGTAGTCGGTAACAGATGGCTAAGGGAACCTCCTTGCAGAATCTCTAAATCTATCTGGCCAGAATTCTCTCGTAAAAGAACGTCTTCGCTGCTGGAACACAGCAAGAGGGAGATCAAAATCGTTGTGGGGATTATTACTGGTCACTGCAAAGTTCGATCTCTCACTTCTAAGTGGGACTCCAGTGGAGAGGATTACTGTCGTCTATGTGAGGACGAAGAAGAACTGGAAACAATTGAGCACATCCTCTGCAAATGTCCATCGCTGATCAGCAGAAGACATAAACAGTTTGGATAATCTAGTCTTCTTCTCAAAAATATACCCTAACCAAATTCTAGGCTTTGTCAAAAAATTGATTTGGATAAAATAATCTCTCTTCCGCCCCCTTCCTCTTACTATTTCTTCATAGGTACACTTATACATAAAGGATGATCACAATGGACATAGTTTCCGAGTGGACGGTTGTTACAACAACCGTACATCCCTAACCTAACAAGGCTTGGATTTTTTTAAATGCTTTGATTTAAAAAAAATTTTTCAAGAATCCAACAAATTTCTCATTCTTTTTTACGAACTAAGGTTGAATGATTTCCAATGTGTGGATTTTTTAAAAATATTTTTTTTTCAAGGGCTTGGATTTTTTATACAATGATCACAAATTTAAAAACAAAATATTAAATATCATAATTTATTACAAAATTTGTGCTAAATTCGAGGATTAATAAAAATGTATATTATATAAAAAAATACAAATATTAAAAGTAAAATAAAAAAATATAAGATTAAAACTAATGGAGGGATTATTATTTAATAAAGTATTCACAAATCTCAACATGGTTTATGAAAAAATAATTATAAAAGAAAAATATCGTCAACGTGTATGGCTATATATCTGGAGCAATAAACTACAAACTTACAAAATAGTTCATAATACTCATATCAAATAAGAAAAAGGGAATGTATTTCTTTTTTTAGTCATTCTCTCAAATTCAATTCTTATGAATCTTCAATTTTCATTAATTTATATAACATTCTTGTGTCTTTGCGATCTTTCCATTCAAGCGGATGTATGCTCTTCAAGTGTGTGTACAACGATGAACTGTAACGAAATGTTTCACTGCAGTAGAGGCAACGATACAATTCCTGACCGGTATGTGTGGCCATGTGTTCCTGCATACAACGACGTGCCTTAAAGGTCTTATCACACAGCGGACATTTGTGGCAAGTAGGCGATTTGACATTATTGCCACCGGCTCGCATCGAATGTGTATAGTACATGTGACGATATAGATGTCGGCTGGAGCTGTAGGCACGATTGCATAGTTGACATTTAAAGGCATTCGGATCCAAATGCAGTTGCATATGATCGGCTAAATGCCAACGTTGTTCCAACTTTAGTTGACAACATTCAACGTAGAATGGTGCCTGCGGATGTTCCAAGTGAAAATGCTGTTGTAGCAGCGTGTAGGTGGGATATTGGCCATAGCAGACCACACACTCTAAATTTGGTTTCCAGCGGGCAATAATTTCATCTAATTCTTTGGCAGATTTTTTGGATATTTTTGATTTGTTCAATGAATCTGGGGTACGACTGTCCATGACACCAACACCGCCGCCATTTCCACCACCATCAGCACCACTTTCATTACCCTCAGAGTGTTTGGAAATTTTATGTTTTAACAAGGCTTTGGATGTATTACAAACCCGACCACATATTTCACATTTAAATGTGTTGGGATCCAGGTGGACTCGTGCATGTTCGGCTATCGATGAACGTGTAAACAATTTTCGTTGACAACATTCTATGTGTGATTTCTCCTGGGGATGCACTTCCTTAAAATGTTCTCCCAAATGGGCCACATTTGCCACCACAGCATTGCAGAGAGGACAATTTAGCGTTGAACGCCATTTGGTTATATATTGATCCAATATTTCGCTGGGTGTACGATTTCTTGAATTCTCCTGTTGGACAGGTGGCGCTTGGCGACTAAAGAACTGATGCATATGTTCCAACATGGTATTTTCACCCATAAAATTATTATCACCACTTGTATTCAATTGTACCGATAACATTTCGGCAGCTGCCATTGATATATCTTCATCGCCACCATAATCCATATCAGAATGTGAACTATCATCTTCTTGATTTATTTCATCTTCTGTAAGGTCAATGGGTGTAATACTAAGCTCTGGATTTAGACCAGATTTTTGTACGCCCATATTGAATTCACCATTTTGGGCCTTTATCATATCGACAATGGATTTAACATAGAGTTTGAAATTATTTTCATTAATTTGATTTTGTACGGCATCATCATTATCATCCGAATTTTTGTAATTATTTTCTTTATCACTTTGTAATGCCTCAAAGGGGTTTATCGCTGTGTCACCGTCATCATCTTCATTTTTAATTGAATTTGCAGCTGCTGGTCCAGTTTCTTCTTTTTCCTCCTCTTCGAAATCTTGTTTTACAGGCAATGGCAAAACATCCTCATCGTCGGCTTCTTTTTCCGGTTCACCTTTTAGTAGTGTGGATTGGGCCAATAATATGGATTTTTGAAAATTATCAAATTCACTAATCTGTCGCCAACATTCCGAGCACATCACCTTCAGGGGACTTTCATGTATGGGTTCTAAGAACTGTTGGAAAAAAATAATACAATTAATAAGTGTTTTTTATAAGAATTTGTTCTACTTACCATGGTGTGGAAATACTTAATAGTAGTTTGATAAACTTCCATTTTAAATTGATCATTTTCATCGTAGAGTTCTACGAAATCGGTACAACTATTTATACATAAACGGCACCAGTTGAGGTGCGACATTTTTGATGGCATTAATGTTTGGAACGGCGTCTTCAGGACGTAAAATGTTTGTTCTGTAAAGAAATAAAAAAAGAGAAATATAAACATTATAGATATGAATAATAAGAAAAAATCTTATATAACTGTCAAGATAAAAATGTTCTTAAAAATTGCCTAACGTAAAAACTTTTCTCTCGGATATTCTTAGCTGAGCCCAGAAAAAAAAATAAATTTCGCAAAAACCTTTAAATATAGATCCATGTTTCGATATAGATGTATTATATATATATAGCTTTGAAAAATTTTAAGGCACTTCGAAGGCTTTTTCCGACATGAATGTATGAAATTTGTTATGTCAGTATCCCAGAGAATTGAAAAACTCTTCGCCCATATAAAAATCTGGCCGATTTTAAGCATTTTTAAGGCCCACCTCATGTTAGAGGGTACAACAAGTTCTTCTCGGTTGTTGTAACAACTTAAATGTAAACTAGTACTTCTTACTTATTGCTTTGTTCCGACTCATATGTTTTAAAATTCCGAAAGGTTGCAATTTGTTGAAGAGATTCAATATATCGTGTGGCCCCAGGTTCACATGCTTGGTATGTGTTAGACATGATGACTATGGGAATTGAGGGCATAATTTCAGTGCTAAGAATACAGTTGTTGTAACAGTTTGGCTGCCTCGTTTTCCCAGAAATAGCACAATGACATAACAATTTATTTGCGAATGGGTGACTGCTATTCAATTGAAAATGGTATCGGATGCTTAATGTGCATGATAAGTTTGGATAATGGGTAGGATGATGGGTTTTTATTTGAAGTGATGGGATTAATGTGTAGTGGTCTTAGCCACAGATCAATGAGACGATGATCTGTGGGTTGAAGTGGACATGCAAATAAATGACCTGTAACATGCGGATCTTGACTGCAAATGGATCTTGATTTAAACGCATTTTGGATGACTGATCATCATGATCGGTTCTTGTCTGAGTTCTCAACGATTTAGACAGTGACAATCGGTCGATGTTAGATGAAAAAACTTTCTGGATGTCGTTGCTATATCCCTTGACGTCCTTCCAAATGTGTCGAGGGGATGGACGCTGAACCACTACATGATGGTTGGGATGCGTGAACAGATGACCTGCTGCGACCTGTATCGGTTAAGTCCAAAGAGAAGATGGGGTTAGGTGAATGGGTTTGGCTGCGCAGTTGAACAGGTGCAGCGTATCATGTCGAAATCTGCATCAATTCGTGCCCAATATGAATTGAGGCGGCTACACCATCCAGACCTTAGTTGCGCCAAGACCACTCTGGCTTGTGGAGGTAGCTGTTGCTCTTCTGCAGCTATCATAGGCGAATGATCTCCGAGGATAGTATCCATACGATATTCTTGAATTACTTCCTTAACTGCATCCGTGTGAATTCGATTCAATCCTGCTTGATAGGACTGTTGATCTAGAAGCTCTCTTTTGTACCTCTCTCTCCATATCATGGAGATCCTTCCTGACATGCCTAGGTGGTGGGTGCCTATCCATTAGGTAACGGTTTGGATGACTACTAGTATAACCTCCAAGCAGTTATTGCATCGACAACATCTTGTTGCGTTGACGCACAGGAAGGATCTTCGTCTCTTCATGTAAGTGGTCCTGCCAGAATGCCGCCCTGAAGATTGAAGACCGCATAGTTTACCACAGAACGGCCTATTGCTGGATAAGTCGTCAACAAGGTTTCCTTGTCAGCTCCCCAAGTGCAGTGGCTTACGAAGACGACGAATAAGGTTGTTGCACGAAAATCTCAATCAATTGGATCTATCGACCGAATATGGTATCTATCGACCTTTATGTTGGAAAGAGAGCTTCATTTCAGCCGTCCAATTGGTTCTTCACATGAGAGAAACTCACTCATGAGATATATATCTAATTATAGCCAATTGGGTTAAACATTTCTTCGTAGGGTCATTTTCTACTCAAAAATATTATATTGCTCCCAAATTGGTTGAAACACGTGCTCAAGCTTCTTAAAATACCGATCTTTGTGGTGTTGCGTTATATGGGGGCATCCTTTAACCAATTAGGTGATAGCCATCAAAATACCGAATATTTGGGGGTACCGTTATATGGTCAAACTTTGTCATTTGTCGTAATTCCAGAAACAGTCTTCTTTCAAAGCAAATTTTGTTGTAGCGATATATACTTGTCCACACGCACCTACAATTGCTTGCACAGTGTCGGCATGTTATTGTACAACCTTCGGAAGTGTGTTAATGATTCAGAAACCTTAGTTTTCTTTTTAATTTAATACTCAATTTCGTTCGATTCGAATTTTACAAAAACAGACTGTCATCGTCCCTTAATTGAATGGTATCTAAATATGTTTCGCAAATAAGTATTCCACAATATTAAGTAGAACTCGTAATGTATGCACTCAAAATTTAACTGCAGAAACCTTTCGATTGGAACGAACAACCACCACCTTATAATCACATGTTAAAAGGACACAACATTGAATGACATCATATACATACATCACATCAACAATTTGTGAACACAGTATATAAGAGGGATGTTTTTTATACTGGTACAATATTCTAGAGGCAATTATAGATCGTTAATAATTAAGTGCTGCAACATGAAATTAATGATGGTGGATGGATATAGCTAGCAACTACCGCAACTAACAATACATTGTTTCTTAAGGATACACTTATGCAAAAAAATGGGACTCTTTTGTGGAATAACATATATCGGTTACTTTTAGTATAGACTATTTTTCGGTATTGAGAGCGAAATAGTTTTTAATGGCTGTAGAATATATGTAGTGGAATTGTACTACGTGTGATTGTATAAAGAAGCAAATCAATCCTACTGGTGTGTCCGTGTGTATGTGCAGTAAACAGGTAGTAAAATCCTTAACAATACAAATCCTTTGCAGGAAGTGTAAACCTGTGTCTGTAATGAAAATATTATTAAATGCATTTAACGACTTTAAAAGATTTTATACCTGTGTTGGAATGTAAGTCTAATGTAAGATGAAAATCCTATGTATGCTATGTAAATCATTAAAATACCTCTGAATCCAAATGTCTTAACTAAAAGACGCTTCTGTTTTAGTACTTTATATTAAAATTGTTAACTATGTAAAACCAAAATTGATGACTAAGCATATAGTGGGAATAAAATACAATATGGTATTTGAGTTAATACCATGACATTAAGTGTACATTAAGCCATTGTAATTAGATCCTTTACTCGTAAACTTAAAAAAACACTATCTTTGAATACAACAACACTTAACACAACGGTGTATCATAATTTTATATGAAAGACTCCATCACAATTCTGGAAACCTGTACCCCAAATTCCATCTTTCATTCTTTAAAATTCTTTTTACATACATAATGTATGTAGCAAATGTAATATTTAATGATTCTAGTCAGGTGTGACACATACACGAACTCGTATGAAATTCTACGAAAAAATGAGGCCAATTGTTTTTAATGTTTTTTTTACTTTATATATAAATACACGTGTTGGATGTTTTTCATTTTCACTTACCTCTAACTTCAAGTAAATTTAATAATTTGTTTATTTATAAACATTTAATAAATTAACTTCCAATAAAAATTATGTTTTTCTTCTAAAGAAATTAAGAAAAGAAATGCTAAAGCCAAACAAAAAGAAAATACTAACTAAAATGCACAAACAACTCTATTTTCTCTCTCAGTGAATGACGCTCGTTCGCTCTCTCTCTCTACCAGATGTTCATAAACAAAGTAATCGATAACACACAAGAAGAGCGATTGTTTGCTATCGATCATGGTAGTGTTATGGTGGGTGTTGCCAAGCACAATTATTAAGGAAGAAGGTTTTATTAGGGAATACATGTTTTAAAAAAAGATTTTTATTGGGAAAATTTTTGTAAGAAACAGTGAACTATTACTTTCTTTTAATTAGAGAGATTATTTTCAATTTTCTTTTATAGATTAAATTATTCTATTGTAAAAATTATGACTACGTGAATAATAGAGTACAACAAGAAGGCTGGTTGGAGTTGCCAACCACATACATATGACTTTGCTTTAGTGGGGTTAACTTATTAGAACATTAAAACATACTTTCAGGCGTTATGTTGTTTACTTATGCAAAATAAATGGAAAGTCAAAGACTTAATTTTATACAATTATTAAGGAATATGGTTTTATTAGGGAATAAATATTTTAAGAGTAGATTTTTTATTGGGGAAACGTTTGTATAGAAGACAGAAATATTTTCTTATAATAAGAGAGAGAATTTTATATTTTTTATAGATAAAATTATTCTATTGCAAAAATAATACTGGGTGAATAATTAAGTAAAAAAGACTGGTTGGTATTGCCAACCACATGTATTTGACTTTGGGGTAACTTATTAGAAAATTAAAGCATACATTCAGGCGTTATGTTGTTTACTTACACAAGACAAATGGAAAGTCAAAGAAAATGTTCTGGAACGGAAAGCTAGTAAAAATGGCAATACTCGATGGCAATACTTCAAAATCAACACAACAGCCTATTAAAAGTAGGCATTCCTGCTTACCAGTTTTACTCGGCCAAATTTCTCGAGTAAAAATTTTACAGCGAAAAACCATTTTGTTTTGTTTTCTCTAAAATTTGATTCAACATTTTACAAGTTTTGTAGAATCTTTTAGGTTCTGGAACGAAACTTTTTTGTGGATATTTTAGTCATTCGGGATTTAGAAGACCTGAAAATAAAAGATAGTGAAGGATACAGGTATGTATGTAATATAATTCTGCTGTGTAAATATTTTCAGGAGTGTTTAGATGCTATAACAGTCATCATAGCCATAAGACAGTTACAGATGACAAAAATTGTGCTCTAAGACCAAGTCATTTGTAATGAGTTGATCATATAGGTCTGAGGGGCTTTTTAGGCAGTGTCACAGAGTAGCTGGTTCCAAATTGGAAAAAATAATATGTTTCTTAATTGAATACTCCTCTTCTGTGGTACACAGCACAAACAGAAAACTGCCCGAACTCTAGGTTCAAATTAATTTTTTTAATGAGATGATGGCATTA